ATATGTATATATATATCTATGAAGTCTAAAGCCAGCCCAGTAATCTACATAAATATTATGCACCAAGGATTCCATGTTGTATGAAACACATGCTGTCGAAGAGAGCAGTACTTATTATTATCGCCGAAAAATACACACGTTATTGTTTTTTGTATTACTTCATCAAACTCAATGGACAAAATATCGGAAATATACGATCGCCATCCTGGTCTCAAAGAAAGATAAGCGACACCTGGCGTTTAATTGCTGACTTATTAGTCTAACGAGCATATCAATTAGTCCGTTAGATAAATATAGTCAGGGAAAAGTAGCCTAGCCAAGTAGATCGATATGGTCTACTAACTGCTAAGTGACGTAATTTTTATAGAGAACGTCACTACTTGGCTAACATAGTACTTACGACAGGAGACAGAACGGTAACTTGAAAAAGTAACTCTTTTCTCAAGGGCATTAGGGTACCGATACAATTTACCTTGCTTTATAGTGTATAGACAATTTTTCGGAGCCGGCATCTCCATATCACAGTTCTGGTTGTGGTCAGTATTGTATATGAGTGTACAGCTCGTAGTAGTATATTAATGTGTGACAATACTCGACAGAAGTACGCATGATTCATATTCTGACTATTGCTATATAAACAGTTGTAATTGACAATGTTGTCAATAATTGTACCAGTGAATGGACTTATCGTAATCGCTGAACAACCGGATCTCTGTGCCGTTCTTCACTAGTTCTGATTTGACACTTTCTGAAAAATAATTGCTTTCATATTCTGTTTCCGGAAAGGATGACGATACTCCAACCACAACAGCCTGTGTTCACGTTACTCACAGATTTTAGCGGAGCTTTTCATAATGCAGCTCATTTGGGACATGTTCAGAATTTCCGTGACTTCTCAATAATAAACAAGAAAGGATGCATTATATATATATATATATGTATAAAGACACAAAGTGATTTCCCTCCTTAAAAACAACTTTAGTGCTAATATATTTTATCTTTTTGCCCTCTCTACGATCAAGCACTTCTGAAGTCATCACAGAAAGATTCAAAAATAATGGTCGAATAAAGTAAGGGTAGATCACCCTTCATCCTGTCACCCGAAAGAACTACAAATGATTATACTGCAGTTTATCAATTATTTAATAATAATTTTCCGTCTAACGCGCTGCATTTTTCCCCATCCATAACAGAGCAACTACAAATACACCCAAAAAAGGTCCACTGGCCCGGACTGACTACTGACTTTCTCATTGGATTGTCGATCGATAGGACTCTATGTAGAAATTTAGTTGAATCTTCGCCTGTCAGTTTACTCTAAGTGGAAGTGAATCGGCCCAGATGCTACGACTAAAACATCCTCTTTACCCTTCCGTTCTTCGCAATCCCAAATAGAGCGGTCTTTGGTAGTGTATGATTCGACCAAAGGGATGGAATCCCCAAAGAGTAGATAGTACCAAATTTTTCGTTAATATAAATGACCTTTAGCATATTGATATCGATATTAGTATCACTAATTTTATTGGATGTATCCTTAACTGAATGTATCTGGTCAACAAGGCTATGTTCCAGCATCTCGTGCCTCACATCTTGTACGACAACCAGACGCTTTACATAGCGTAAGCACCCAACACATCGATCGTTGGCGAAATATATCTTTCAGTCCTTCTGAACTAATTTTGTTCCTAAAATATGGGGAACGACGAGGATAAATCCAACACCAAAAAGTTGACTGGTGATTATAACCCAAAATTTTGATCTATAGGAATAACTTCACTTTTACTTTAAACAATCGGAAAAATATTGCTAAACCCATATTAGCCTGTCGTTAGAAAGTATATTAATCCATATATGTTTGCCTACAAACTCAAAAGAAACACCTTGGATACTTTCTTGCCCTACATCAAAATTTAGTTTTCAGCGTGAAAAAACGTAAGAATTATGCTTAATATGCATTTCTAGACTGCAAGCATCCCTTTGATGTTATTTGAAGACTGCTGCTATTTAACAGGTTTGTCAGCATTTGCATAGATAGGTGAGGAAACAAACAGCTGTTTTCCTACCCCCTGAAAGCGAACACTATACTGTCCTTGAAGCTATGAGCCCAACAGCACTGCAAACTCAGGATTTACAATAAAGAGCTATTCCTACCTCTTTCTTTTCCCTATTTTCCTTGCGTGGTCTGCCACATTCAATGGAGAACACATGATAAGAATATGGACGATCTGAAACGATTTAACTTTATGTCGACCAATCAACGGTGGCCATTTTTGGTGGTCTAACACTTAATCCCTTAACGTATTAATAAATTTATCTCACACTGGGACGTAAGCAGAGCCTAAACACATGGTTGGAGTCCCGTAAGGTTTGAATTGCTGGAGATTCCATAATAAGAGTTCGTCAAAGGCCACATATCTATATGTAAGGTTTTCTCTCAGTTCATTTTTGCCTTATGATTTCTTGATCTCAAAGGCTGAACCGTAGCTCCTCCCTTGACACGCTGGTTGAGCTTTCTATCTTAATGATCCGGCCGTCCTATATTAACTAAAATACGTGTCTCTTTAAATTTTAACATTCCAGACAGGTTGGTTGAAGAACAGTAAGGTCAAAAGCAGGGACCCATGATCCGAGGGTGTAGTCGCACCGTTGACCGTAGAGGGGTCTGACAAGAGTAAGATTTTATTCGTTGACAACCAGCACCTGCAGAGGCACAACACCCCTACAACGGGAGAAAAATATTAGGAAACGATGACTTTGAAAATGTCACACGCCATATTACCCCACCGATTGCCGCCTCCAGCGGTAAGGCCTCTTGAACTACAATACTGGCACATAGAAAATGTTTTACTAGAAAGACGTGAGCGGCCGACCTTAAGCAGCTGTTCATTGGGCTCCGAGCTCAAGCTCTCAGGTTGATAAGACCACTATTAACTTAGCCTTCTTCTCAGATTCTTTTGGGAGAAACGGCTCAACAGTGTGAGACACCGTAAAGTGAAAACCGCGCTCACACCTCCATAACTATCCAAAATCATCATGTTATCGAACGAACCCCTCCCCCACTTCTTAATAATTATATCCTCATTACTATATATCCTCGTATATCTTTATCGTCAAGATCCACAAACGCTAACTATTTGAGTTTACCAAATGCTATTCCTGGTCTCATGAAATCGCACTCAAGATATCAAGTGAAAGCTTCTAAAGTCCAAACCTTGTATCACGTATGATAACTGGCTTCTTTAGTTATGACCATCTGATCTAGCGTCATTCATGAGTCCCGCCTCTCTAGAGCGCACATACGGGATCAAAGTATAGTCATTCATTTGACTGCACCGTGCTAATAAAAAGAACTGGCATAATTAGATTTTCGAGTACTTGGTCATCCCACTAATTCTCCCCATGACCACGCTGTAGGTATAGCGGTAAGATCTAATATACAGTCGCTAATGCTTTGTTCGACTCAACAGGGTAGACAGGACTGGAAAAGCTGGGGGCGCAAGCCATTCCTTTTTCGCTTTCTCTGCCTACACTCACAGTGACTGCAACTCCAACGGCATGAAAGGTGACTTTCGTATTAAGCAGTGTAATTTCATACCAAATACTAGACTTAAAAAGAAACCATGTGATGCGGAGACCCTCACAATCGACTGACCAATAAACTCAAATAGGTCGTACTACCATTAGCCTTCATTGAAGAGGTTCAATAGAAGACCGTCGCTCATTCTGGAGCGAATGTTTAGACTCGGATCACGCCAGAGTACGAGTACGAGTTTACCTGCCACAGCGAGAAAACCCCTTAAAGTTTGACTCACTCATTTGCCTATTATCTCTAAGCGACCTCAATGGCAAATTGATGTAGTCTGGTGAGGTTGAAATGTCTATGAGGAATCTAACGCGATGGAGGTTAACATGAAGTGGTGTTTCAACTCCTACGATCTGAATAAATGGTTCTGTTCAAGCAATTGAATTGACTGAGATTTCAGTTAGATCCTATGAACTGAACATCATCCTATTTGAATTTTCTCGATCACTAATAATCCCAATTTATAAGAAAGAAAAAATTCCTCTTGTAATAATCAAAGGGGATCAGTTTGACTAGCACAGTGTCCAAGATATTAGGACAAATAATTCATTAAACCCTAACTAAAGCGCGTGAACAGTGAATTAGAGAAAAGCAAACTAGTTTCAGACCTGGACGTGGATTTGTAAACCAAATATTTACCCTTCGGCAAAACCTGGAACATAGATATACTTTTTGACGAGAAGCTGTAGTTGTGTTCCTTGACTCTGAAGGATCGTTCGAATATGTTGATTATGAGGTTATATCCCAGTGTCTGCGTTAAAAGTTGTGCCAAAGATGTACGGGAATCCTGTTTAGTCTGTTTATTAGAACACGATTGGCCGAGTCAAGGCTTATGGTATATCTGATATTGACGAAAAATTCCTTTGTGTTGAGCAAAGTGCTTAAGAAAGTTAGCGGGATGAGTAATGATACTTTTGAGGTCGTTATGAATATAGTTGTGAACAGATATTCAAAAGCTTGCAAAATTCTGGCAAATGTTATCTCATTAAGTACTGACCATCTGCTTCATTAACATCCTGTTTTTCGTATATCGTCGGGTAGAACGAGACACCGATACATGCACCCAACAAAGGCATAAAATCTCAATAACGTTGTATGTATTATATATTCTACATGACGAATAGGCTGTAAGAAGTGACGGAGTCGAAAACTTGTATTTTGAAGCGTTCTGCTAGATAAAATTTATATATTTCCTTATCTTTTTGGAGACATTTCGCTTAATCTACGGAAAGCTTTTTACTTATTTCGTGTATACACATATGTAGTTATCGATTTACTTTCCTTCCATACGAGAAATTTTTTTGAAATGTTGTGTACTGAGAACTGTATATTGTACTAAACATATTATATTATATAAAACCAATAATAATAAAAATAATAAAAAACTAAATAACTTCTTCATTTTTAACCTGTATGTATGCTAGGAAGAACTTGTGAGGAAATCTTACAAGGAGAAGAACAAGAGGAAACGTGAATTGAGGACCCTGTAAGCAGTCAGTGACAATTATCAGTATAGTAAATGCAATTAAGGCTGTCTGAGGGTCGAAATTAGATATCAGTGAAACAGACTTTCTAATATTTTACATCCCTCTCAGTAAAGACGTACCACCTTAGTTCTCGTCAAAGTCTGAGTTAGGATAAAGTCGAACCACATCTCTGTGACGTCTTCTTGAAATATCTTGATCCTCTTTCAAATGATGTGATCAAACGTGAATCTTTGAAAGTTGCATAACTAGTAAAAAGGTAATCATTTGTGTCTCATCGCGGATTTATTATAAGGTCAATTTTGAATACTAGTATTCCAGCTCTGACTGACACAAGTAATGTGCCATCCTTTTGTAAATCATACGCCACTCAAGGTCACCCCTGTCACTGGTTTTACAGTACAGTAAGTATCTAGTTATAAACGTTGCCGCCGATTGGCAATTTTAAGCATTTGTTTTCCAGACTTGAAAACTGCACGTTAATTTCGTCTTCTCCTTTTGTTGAAATTAAATGAACGTATATGTGCAGTTTTTGTTATTTGACATAGAATAAAAAGTTAACTTTTGGTTGATTCGGGAGACCTCATATACAGAAATATCATATGAGAAGCAGCTACGGAGAAATACTAACTGAACTCTGATCACTCTAATTGGGCACTATGTCTATGTTGTTCTTGTATATCAGACTAGTTAGATAGATGCTGACAAATTTAATACAGATAAGTTAGACTTGTAGGGAATTTAGAAGTAGTCAGATAAGGAAAAGATCATCTGGTGAACTTACTACTGACGAGTTTGGAATTAGTTGAATTATTCTAGCTTGGACACAACAGTGCTCAAGACGGCAATTGTTTCTGTGAGTTTTAGATGTAAAGTGTAAAACACTGAACAGTGAGCGTTGGGAATCTCTTAATTTGGTGCCTATTTTCTCACTTCTGCCTGGGGATTCGTTCAATAACTGCGACATTCGTTTCCTAGAATAAAGTACCGCTTCCTCTTGTCCGTGTTTTAGTAATTCCCTGTGATGATCATCGTCTGTTTTATCCGATCGCCATGAATAAACGTATTCTTATCACATGCTTTGTGCCGTTTGGGCGGTAAATCATGCTTCATCCTTTCATCACTTACAAATAGTTAGGACTAGTTGTTTTACGTCGTTTTAAGTCCTTGATCTTGTTTAATGAGAAGTTGTGGTTGTGTCCGAGATGTTGCTTATCAAAGTCCCAGTGAATAAGTAGGTTCGACTTTGTCAGACACGTAGTTTTAAACTTAGCAGGTTGTGATGCTGGATGAATCTCCGCTTTACCACCCTGTATTTGTTTTCTGAGGCTACTGAATCATCCTGGTAATTGCTACTGTGTGCCGATTTGGGCGATGGATATGTGAAGTTTAGTGATACTAATAATAATAATCTAAAATGGGTGATCCTGGACTCTGAGTAGACTATTGATTAGTCCAGGTTTTAGAAAATTCATAACCATTTTTAAGTCCCTATTATTGTATGTATAGCTAGTCAGTTAGCCTAAACCTTATTGAGGATTGTAGTAAAAGTGATGTTGTGATGATGTAGAATCTTTTTTCAACTATAGTAGAGTACCATAAGACAAGGAAAAAAATTTTTCAATATAGTTGTAGTTAATGTTGAGGTAACTAGAGTCTTCGATGAGCTTGGTTTTTAACTATCAGATTTTGTAAAAGTTGTTTATTAACATAGTCTTCCTATTGAATTCATACATAGCAATAGATAGTTTTAAACGTCACTAATTATCTTATTAATTCTCTGCATGATAGCACTGATCTGTACTTATACCATCCCTTAATTTCTAGAGATGGAACTAATTGTGTTGGTAAAGTCAACTGCTGTTAGCATTCCCATAAAACTGGTTCTTAAACGTCTTGTGATGTCTTCGTCGAAAGTATAGAAGTATAATTTGGATTATCTGTAATTTGGTTTAATTGACTCGACTTAACAATATGCTGGGATCTCGTGTACTAAGTTTCAAGTCACTTTCTTCAGGCCTGGTGCTACTACTCGGCTACAGAAACTGAAGTAGAGCATTTTAAGTTTCAGGCTTAGTGATGTAAAACCAAGTGCTTTCAATGAAAAGCCTGACAGTAGACAGGAGGAATGTGTGGCCATTGTGCGAAGTTACAAAACCTTTACATAATACTTACACATAGCATTTAATCGTCCGTTTGCAGCTTCCGGTGTGTTATGCAGTCTGGACTGTTTTCTCGACTAGCTTCCAAGTTTTCTGCCAACACCGTGCTTTTTGTGCACTGAAACCCTTCACTCTGTTAGATGTTTGTTGCAAATTCAACGCCACGTCCTGATGCACACTAATAAACACCTTTGTGAATACCGTCCACTACATCAATACCTAAGCCGTTGCTTCGAAAAAGGTAATCAAGAACGGTCCCATGAAAATTATATGCAGATAATATTGAGGGTCCTGTTGTCAATGAATCTGGAGAAAAAATAGTATTGAGTTTATAAGATATGATCTTAAAGCTTTTTGAATGGCATATCATAAATTGTGTACGAAACGTCATCGATTAAACAATACCGTACCAATATCTGCCATAGTCATTTTTAAAGACGGTGCACTAGTATAACGCTTATGTGATCGAAACTAGTTTCTTTTAGGACACCAATCCGTTTCCCTGTATGTTTATATCCATACAGTATACCATAGAGTTTCATTCCTACCACACAGACATGAAGTCTTCCGTTTCAGATTGCCCATTCTCAAAGGAACCATCTTGCTATGTCTTTGTCCAGTGGAAGTTTATTACGCTCAGCTCAACTAGGTAATAAAGTTTAGTTTTTCCAACGTTTTCAGTATTTTTTAGACAACCTTTCAGATGCGCAGGGGTTAAAAAAAAGAAGAACTACGCCGAAACCCCTTCTAGGTACCGACCTTCTGTACTTGTGAAGACTCTTCGTGGTTTTCAGTTTAATGATGGAGACTATGTCTATAAAGGTGATATCTTAGTTCGGCAGGTACATTGTTTTTATTGGTCTTTGTTCATTTCTAAAGCGTGAATAATTTTGTAACGGTTGTGCTGTTGATACCTCTATTTTGTTGCAAGTGATAAAGGTATGCATAAAGCAGAGGGTAACATGTGAACGTATATATATCCATAGAATACCATCTGACAAGGATCTGACAAGATGAAATTGTTCTCTTTTGTAGAATATGTCATTAGGGCTGGGTAGTTTGTAGTGTTTTTTTGCATGGCTACGTGAAACTCATGAGCAGTCCGTCAATCATGACCAATACAAAGCCTGGCACAAATGCGCCTTATCCGAAGTCTCCATATTACACTAAGACAAGGAAGGTTGGAATAGTGTGGTAAGTGCTAATGAGGAAGACCAGATATGGGGAGTGTGGTGTGAAACGACAATGAGAAGAGATATATGAAGGGATAATGAACTCCAGATCTAGAGTACGATAAAGTTGGCACGTTTGTTTCATTATGACCGCTTCTGGGTCATGTTACTCCAACCACCAATCACACGGACTTCAACCAAGTGGTCAACATCCACCACAATGAGTCAATCAAATAGTCGCTGGCTTTATGGACTGATATCACGTCTTGTTTTGGTTATCCCTAGCATTCTTGCAGCTTTCTCTTACAACAGACAGCATACCCTATCAATGTAAAAAGTTGTCGGGCGTACATAACACATGTCCCAACCACCTCAATCGATGAAGATTCTAGGCGGTATATGTTTAGGGTCTATACATTGTTATGTAGATTCTTTGAATCTTAATTCTTGGCCGACTAACTTTGGTTCACCTAAGGTATGTCTTGCATTTGTAAACAGCCCACGTTTGCTGAGAGGATACTTATGAAACCTCACAATTGTTTTCGCTTTCTCCAATTTTAATAGTGACCTGTAATCCAGTGTAATGATCATCTATTTTATCGAGTTTGTTTTATTCATATCTTTTAAGTGTAACTGGCTCATCGTATCATGTATAAAGTCGTAGGATATACACAAGTTTGGAGGATGTCCACATATCCAGTCCATCAAAACAATCCGTAGTGGATGATTAAGCAGAATATAATACAAATTTTAACTAAAGTATTTGGTACCAAAAATTGCTTTCTGGTTACTCACCCAGTTAAGTTTCCCAATGTAGTTGGAGAGACTTTCACTGTTCTGTAGAGTGTGCTTTGTTAGTATTTTCTCTTAGTACGTTTCGTAGCACCTATGAAGTGAAAAGCGTCCTGGTACAGTTGAGGATTGGAAGAGTCCACTCTCGGAATGTTCTCATATAACCACTCGCATATAGCCACCCACGGCCAAGGAATTCGTACTAACTGCCTTCTCGTGGTAGGGGTATTGTTTAGGGAAGTAAGAGGATAAAGCGAATATCCAGCGCTTGCATCGGGTTAGTGGATACATAAAATCCACCTGGAGGAGTTGAAAAACACTGATTCATACCAATGGTGTACATGGGCTCCAGCGACGTCAGGGGTTGAGTAGCTCACGAACCTATTCTTGATCACCGGCTATCATGGAACTGTACCTTTTAGTGTTGCTCCACCACCTTGTAAATTAGATCTCCAGGTCAAAGGTCTGGGAGTGGTTACTTACTGACGTCCGTCACCCCTCGTGGAGAAGCATAGACCGCCCACCAGCATTCTCTATCGAACTCGGCTCTGAACAATCTTTTCCAGTTGCTATTCATCCTTTTGATATCTGCTTCCGATTCTCGACACAGTGTTCTTTGGTCTTTCTCTCTTCCGTTTCCCTTCAGGATTCCAAGCTAGCGCTTGCCTCATGATGCAGTTTGATGACTTCCGTAATGTATGTCCTATGCACCTCTATCGTCTTCCCATAATTTCCACTTCAGCTAGAAGCTGTTGACCTCAAAGTTGGGCGTCTTTTGAACCTTTCGTCCGGTTCAGCAACACTCTGTTGAAAACGTTTTCTGGTACCGATTGTAGTGTGATGCCTCCGTAGTTCTCACACTTGTTCAGATCTTCTTTCTTTGTATCTCAATGAAGTGTCCTTCTTTCCAGTGTGTCAGTGGCACTTGTTCTTCCTCCCAAATCTTCCTGAATAGAACGTGGAGCGTGTTTACAGTTACTTTTATGTCTGACTTCAGTTCTTCGGTTGGTAAATTGTCAGGTCTTGCTGCTTTCCCACTCTTGATTTATCTAATGGTCATGCTGACTTGTTCGATCATTGGTGCAGTGAAATTTATAGGAAGGTCTGTGTGTGCTGCTTTGATGTTCGGTGGATTCAGTGGAGCTGGTCGATTCAAGAATTCCTCAAAGTGTTCGACCCATCTGTTTCTCTGTTCTTGAATCTCACTGAGTTGCTTGCCTTCTTTGTCGTTGACTGGTGTCTCTGGTTTACTATATTTCCCTTCTAGTTTCTTCGTTGTGTCATATAGTTGTTTTATGCTTCTTCTCTTGTAGCTTTTTCCTCTGTCACTGCTAGGTATTCCATGTATTTCTGCTTATCAGCTCTGAAGCTCTTCCTGATTTTATTGTTTGCTTCTGTGTACTCAGGTTGTGCCTTGACCTTCTCTGTTCTTGTTCCACCATTGTTAATTATTGTCCTCTTGTTCTTCTTTTCTTGAATCTTGTTCAGGTTTCTATAGAGGTCCATTCCTTATGATGATGTTAGATGCGCTTAGAACCTCCTGACACGTTGAAGTTAGTGATTCTTTGATCTCTTTCCAGTTGTCGTCCATAGTAGATTTTTCTTGTTTGAGTAGATCCTGTAAGGCTTGGAACCTGTTGTTGAGAGCTATCTTGAATTTTAAGTGCTAAGTGCTTTTGCAAGACTGACAGGAGCATGTGCTTGCACTCACTCTTGGTAGTGAGCAGTTGGAAGTAACCAAAAGTTTAGTAAGTACTAGTGGTGTCATGGTTGATGAGATCAACGTACGTTTAGTGAAAGCCAGAGTAGCCTATGCCAGTCTGAGCTATTGTTGCAGCCTTCGTGATATTAGTCAGACTGGAAAGTTGGGTCTAAGGTGCGTCGTTTAGAGCAGTTTCTCTCTATACTTGTGAAACCTGGCTTCCAGGTTGATGATGTTAGACAGCTCTCTATGTTTGATGATCGTTGTCTTCGCAGGATTGCTGACATTCTATCGTAACACCACGTTAGCAATACAGAGGTCCGGCTACTTGTGTTCGTGCAAAGTGATGGTAATCCAAATGGTGCTACCGGCTTTGGTGGCTTGGGCCCTACTCCATAAATGTTGTTCCGGCAAATTCTAAATTATTCATTATTTGCAGACTCTAGAAATAGTTGGAAAAACGGAGAGGTAATCAATTTATGACATAGTGCCTCGGCAGGAAAGAAAGTTGTATAAAACTGGAATCCTTCGGCCCTCCATGGCTTCCTGGTTGGATTTCTAGATATAGTGCAATATCGTAGTTTGAGTCATGATTAAACAACTCATAATAAAAGCCAGTGATATTCCTGCTGTAATTTTCTTTTAATTTCTCTAAAAAAGTGAGAGAAACTTCTTTAAGTGAAAGAATTCTTCCTAATTGTATTTTCCTAACTGAACTAGTCCTACTACTTTCATTCCCTTACTTTTATTTATTTCTTGCGTTTATCAAGACTATATTCACCTTCTTTCCTATATTCTTTCACAATCTCATTTACTTATTGTATGACGCATATCTATTTTGGTGCCCCCTTTGTGCCAATATCTTTATTTTTAAATAATACATAAAATAATGATAATAATCAAAACAATCTACTGACCATTCTAGATGTTCCATGTTTGTGGAATTGTTAATCACGGTTTATATATCTAGTTTTTGCATTATCATATTTACTGATTCCGTAGGTACAAATGTACATTAGACAAAATATCAGGTAGAATAACATAAAACTAATGGAGAAATTATGATTCACAGAATTATTTTGTAGTAACAACCTAGAGCTGTTAGTTAGTTGGAAATATAAATTAACAGGATTCCGAACTAAACCACGATAGTCATATTATGCATAATGTTTTTTCAAAAATATTTTCATTTATTACTGTATTAGTTTACTGTGGAATTTTATTCCAATCTTTTAGCTTGGTATGGAAATATACCCGGGTGAATCTGTCAAATTAGACCCGGAAACATGGAACTTAGTAGCACTAAGTAATGGACGTTTTACCATTAGTACAGAGAAGCTTTCACCGTTTCCTGACAGCCCTTTATATGATAAAGTGAAGGATGGCGAAGTAATTTATAAACCATTTGTTCATGTAATTGGTGATCCAATCGAACCACTATATAAACTCAAGCGCATTTTGTAACTAGTGATAATTATAGCTATCATACTCAACAAATTTATTTGCTTTCTAACTTTTTCTGAAGTTATTCACCTCGTTAAATCTTTATTGTGTAACGTCATATCTGTTTATCGTCAGTTTTATTTATACAATAAGGATTTGATAACACAACTAAGTTCCGGAAGAGGTTTGGAGAACCACATTAAGATAATTATTAATTTCGAATATTAGGGAGATGAAGTTCTCATTTTCATATTTCCATCAAGGATTGGAAAAACGTGTTTTAAATGCTTCATTTGGTTATATATATAGTATTTAAGTATAATTTTCTTCGTACTATGCTTTACGATTATCTGAAATTTTGATGGACTTCTGAGTGGCAATACACTAACCTATTAGTTCATATTCAATGTATTCTTTATCGTTACCATGCAATCTAAATTAAGGTACGTTCCCCAAATCTTACCTTCGGTCAATGGTTAGATAAGGTTATTGAATTCCGAACACCATATATGAACTAATTGTAATGCAGAAAATTTCTAAGTTCAGTTAGCAATGATTGAACTAAACTCACTCTGAGAAGTAGTACTTTCTGCAGTAGAAATGGATACTTGAATTAATGAAGTTGATTTTCATCATTTATTAATCATTCAATGTCAAAGTCACTACCAAAAACGTTTGTTCCATTTTTTGGTTACGTTTTCTGTCTGGATATGTTTCCGACTACTTTTAGCCAATATAGTAGCGTATACGCCGACAGTTACTTAGGTTTTAAGCTCTAAATGTCAGTCTAACCCATAAAATATCACAAATATCTTTAGTCTTCAAGTTAACTCATCTTAATATTATATTCTTTCTTAATCCAACTAAGTTTCGGTGCATCAGGTTTTGCTGCTACTTGGAGGTTCATTGTCTGCATCATGTAAAAGTAACTAAGGGTAGTTGGAAACCAGTTGGAATGTTCCCAACAGTATTTTGTCCATCAACTTAGACGGCTTGTCTAAAGCGACATTTTTTCCAAATGCTGATCTCTTAATTCTTAGTACGCATTCTCGGACTTTTCAATTTCTAAAGGCTAGTTGAATCAGAGGTTAGAAAGGGCGAATATCATGGCTAATTCGGACGGGCAGGTCGTAAGAGTATTTAATAGGTTTAAAAGACCGTCAGTTTCTACCCACCACCACTTATTTTTCCGTCCATATTGCTTTCTTAATGCTTGACGACTCGCGATCATCGCTTAAACCTTTGGGATTTCTATTAGTCGTTTCTACGATTTCTACAACAAGCTGGAGATAATGCTAAGCTCCCTTAAAATGTGGGCTTTCAGCAATTCTATAGCTAATCCTTTCCTGAATATCTCATTGACACTATCTCGACTAATTTCCATGGGGTTCTCCAGCTGTATGTTTGCTGTAGATAACGGCTTCCAACAAAAAGTTCGGTTCTCGCTGTAGTCAGTAGGCGTCCAAGTGGCAACAACAAACAGGATACCATTAATGTTTTGATCTGTTCCAGTTTTGTAATGATATGGAGCCAGACAGAGGATAAGCGATTTATTTAATGCATATATACCAGAGATCAAAGTCTAAGAATATCCGAAACACGATCCTTGTGAGTTCATTAAATCGTTGAGGTAAATTCAAATGAACCAGTCTACTTAGATCATGGATCGGATTTTTAGAAATTAATCAAAATGTTCTATGGTTTTCGCTACTGAGCCATGTTTCCCTGTTGACTGTAAATTTGTAACGTCGAAAGCTTCAATATGTGTTTTCAAGCACGGTTGTGCCTTTTTTAATGAAATACCTAGTGCGACCATGTGGTCAAACAGTCCGCGCTGTTGGGACACAAAGATTTCTTAAAACATCTTAATAACAGGCACCACATAATCGTTTTGATTTGCACTAAATGAGCAGATATTGGATTTTCTTCATTCGCATGGTAAGGTCACTATCTTTTCCTTGATGACGAAGTTCTGAGTCACTTTTTCTTCCAACAGTCTGTTTCACAAATTTTGTTTTCAAGAAGAATAAAATTCTCCAGTGATTTTAAACTTTTAGAGAAAACAAGTTTGTATTTTTCGAGAAAATTGTACTCTTCATAACGAAACTGATGTAATAAGTTTGTATCCTTCGTATTGACGTTGAGTCAGTGTAGGAACAGAATCTCTTCCACCATAAATGAAATAGAACTAATTTCATCAAGTACTGCTTTCTATGTTTGGGTTTCTGACGATGTTGTATGAACAGTTTTTAATAACTTAGTTAACATAAAACATTCGCGTCATTTGATACGGTCAGTGGATTATACATAGAGTGCTAAAATATCCGGTAATATCCAATGTTATTGCCTACCAGTAAATATAATCAACAACAAAGTCCAAAAATACTTTTATTTTATTTAACTGCCTAGTATTTTCCGAGCAACATCAAAACTTTATTTGTGATAAATCTATAAGGGAATATTGTCTGAAAGGAATTATTACAATTAAGTAGGTTAGTCAGTATGAGGTAGTGAACTAAATTTGAAGAAGTTATAAATATACTTTTACTTGATAACTAGAACGAGGGTTAGTAGTTTAAGCTCATCCTGGAAATTAGATAAATTATACTGAAACCAATATGGCTGTGAAGTAAACATTAATCAAGAAATGAAAGCAGATTTTTCTTGAAGTGCTCATTTTGATATACAGGTATGCATTGATAGGGCTTTCAAATCAAACAAGAAAACTCTCTGGCAAAAGGCGACGCACGGTCTATCCTACCTTGGATAGCTTTTATAAATGATGAGTAAATAGTTTACCCTTGTGCTTACGAAAGGATAGATTGAATTCAGCCTAGGAAGAGGTATCGATTTAACCTATTTGAAACTTGATAAGTAGCAAATTTACAAAACGTTTTGTGTTCATGAGAATGTAGTGAAGAAATATGCAGAAAATCATCGGAGAGCTTTGATAAGTGGTAAATGGAGGATTAGTGAGAAGTTGGTGTTATTGTATTAAGAGAAACATTTTAGCGATGCTTATTTAGCTTTGTTGGTAAATTCAACTTCTGAAAAATTAGATTCAATAATTAACGATGCTGCCTTCGAATTGATTATCTTAGCACTTACCTTCATGACACACTAAAATGTTAAAATCAAGTCAACAGTCATCTCATTTCTACTATTCATCTATCATTTTCAGTGTTCTCTGGATAGCGTTGACCAGATTAGTAATCCAAGTAAATACATGTTTGTTTTTGTATGCTTTCCTTGACGATATTGAAGTTTAGTTAAAGGTCGCCAAGACGTATTAACTAATTTTTAGTCCCAGACCAGTACATTAATTCATAGCGTTGTTAAAGTTGAATCACCTTGATTATTAAGCACTGTCCTAGGAACTAGTTTCAAGTAGTACTCAATTTTATTCAACTGAACGATACTGCTGTTTTAAGCAGTATAGGTGAAACCAACCAAAACTTATAAATCTCAGTAATTACTGCGTACACCGACTGAGAACTGTTTAACTAGGATCTGAGATATTATGATCATCATTGTACGATGGGATTATTTTTATAATGGATTGTGAAAAAAGATTTTCATTCATTTGAAAACGTCTGGAAGAAAATCGTCAGAAGCTTTGAGAACACCAAATAGTATTGGTATAAAGCTTTCATTAGATTTAACCCCTATATTTCATATATACCAGGTTGATGATGAATTAGAAATAAGTTAGTAGCCTCTGAATGAAAGTTCATTCGCTCAAGGACGTGATAACTTAGAAGACTAGATTAAGAGGTTGTACAAACAGCTTTAAATGCACGGTGAATTATCGGTACTTAATCTTCTATCTGCAATTAGTTTAACTCATTAAAGCTAGTGACGTCAAGTATTTATCGCATATTGATTGATATATTTTTAGCACGGCGTTTACTGACAAACAAGTTTTAATGAAACTGTTGTAAATTAACTTTGAAGACTCAAATAAATTTGAATTTCATTGCTCAGGAAAATGTTAATCTTTAGTTATTATCACACTTTTTCATAAGAAATGCTAGAAATTGATTCGTCGGGTTACCTTAAGGTTGTAAAATTTGAAAGCAAGTTAGTAACTAATACCCATCAGATAGCTCTGTTTGTCCCTCAAGTAACTTTTTCAAACCATGATAAAGAGACAATACTTGAGAATGGATATAATCAATAGTTTGTAAAAATATCAATATGAAGTAATTTGGTTATCCGAAAATGCAATTCTTTCGTGGCTTTTTTTCTCATTTAAGATTAAGGCTACAGTTAATGTTGTATCACTGAGTAGAAGTATAGCAGCATAACTAATTTAAACAGTAACCAACCTAATAAGCTTTCCATATTCATCACTATTTAGTAACCTACAAAATTACATCAGTTAGCACCCTAGATTCCTAGTGTTGTGATTCCTATTCCGTATTAACGCACATTACTGGTTATCTAAAATGGAATACTTCGACAAAATCTGGCTTTGCTTCGACCATCATATTGTTTGTTGTGAGATTCATGTTTTTTTTTCACCTAGGAATCGCCATCATTATCGATAAAAATCTCGGTTGTTTATACTTTTTTTAATACAAACTCAGACGTTCATTTCTCTTTTTTACAGTAACGGGACTAAAAATATTAACTGAAAAAGGAGGTTAGCGTAACTCAGTAACCGAAAATACAATGTCTTGGTTTTTGAATTAGTGTATTGGATTTAGTTACACTGGAATCAAATATTGTTCTGATAAACCTATGTAATGATTACTAAACAGAACGACTTACATGTCATAAATTCGCTTACGAAAAATCACTACCCAGCAGTGTTGTATTGCATATAGGTTTTGTAGTTTAGTATGAGACCATTGACTCAAAGATTTCACATGACTATTACCTCAAGACAAAATGCGTAATCACAAATTATCTTAGGGTAGTTTTTAATAAATTGATGAGTCCTTTTTTAATATAGAACATCCGTAATGTAATTGATCATAAATAAACCGTTCAGTTTAAGGAATGTATTGTTTATTTTC